TGGTAGGGTTGGACTGGATGATCTTGGTAGTCTTTTCCAACCCAGTTGTTTCTATGATAAGTGTTATTTGGATCTGTAGAAAGGTTGTAGGTGCAAAATAATCCTGGCCATTGCTTATTAAAGTAATCATAATAAGCAAAGGCTTCCTTTGTGCATAAGATATGATGTGCATAATTGGTTCTGGCTTTCAGTTAGGACCAAGCTTGGAATTTTGCACTGTTTACCATTGCTTAAAACTTCCTATTACTTTGTTTTCTGCATTTGATCAATTCTGATTGATTTCCCTTATGTTTGCAGATGAGACGCTGAAATTGTTGAAAGAGCTAACAAGTAGAAAATCTCTTCAAGTGCCAAATATCTATTACCATTTGCCTCATTTGTTGAAAAATGAAGGAAGCCTTCAGCCTTCTGTGCAGGTTGGCCTTGGAAGGACGGGAGGTATGCTGATACCATGGTTATTTCATGTGTTATATCTGGAGGACTTTCTAGTTTTAGAAGGATAATTTACTGCATTACTTGGTAGATCAAGGACATCTCATTCAACTTGTGTGATATTGATATGCTTTGAATTCGTGCTGAATCCGAGATGAAAGGAGCTTGGCCTGAGCTTTGCTCTTTTCTGCATAATCTCCATCACACCCCATGCCGTGTGAAGGTGCACGTAAAGAAACATTTAGTTGGGATGAATTTTTTGTAACTAAGTTAGAGGGAGCAAAGCTCAGGCATTACAGATTCTGAGCTGCTAATGGACATATCCCTTTGGCTTTTCAGATTTTTGGGGCAAACGTACATGGATATAATTATTTTAGAGTTGATGCTTCTGTTGTTCTGAACAGTATATTTCGATGCTTAAATTGAGAGTTGAGAGGACTGGAATAATCAGATGTAACTGCATCAATAAAATCTAGACAGTCATTGGAGGTGAAATAAAAAAATCAGTGTCATGCTACACTACTGTTTAACTCCCTCCTTTTTTTTTTTTCCCCCCTCATCCTCACCGTTAGGGTTGGACTCAATGATCCTTGAGGTCTCGTCCAACCTGGTTGATTCTATGATTCTCATTCCTGAGCTTTGGTCATTGGGATAGCTCCATGGAAACCCATTCTCAGAGCTCCTGAAAATAAAGTCCATAAAGCCCAACCAAGCTGGTAGACCACAAAGCTTGTGTGTGTGTCTCTAAGCTTGAAGGCCCCACTGATGAATCCTTGTTTCTCTGTGTGCCACCTGACTTGAAAGGTTCCTTTTACTGTCCACTGGAACTTTTTTTTTTTCCTTTTCTTCCCCTCTTTGCTTTTGAAATAAGCATTAGTTCCTCCTGGCCTGTATTTTCTTGATTACTTCAGTAAATTTGATTGCTCCTGCTTTTAACAGGAGGCATGCCTGTGTGACAAATGCATGGGCTCAAGCCAAAGGTTTATGTTTCTGACTATAAACACCTCTTTTTTTCTTTATGCTGTTATTCAGAAAGGAAAAATTCAATATTCCTTTATTGTTTCAAGTGAAGCCTGTATTCTATCCCACTGGGAATATATGACAGAAGTTTGGAATTGCAAAATAGGAATTGGAATCATGTTTATTTAATTAAACAGAGAGAGGAAATTCTGAGTTTAAATTATTTTCCCATCTTCTCCTTTCCTGATTCATTGTGATTATTTGAGTGTTTGTTTTAAAAATTCAGAGCTTGCTAATATGTAGTTGCTAGGCAAAGCAGACTCTATATGGAAGGATAAACAACATTATTAATAGTTGTTTGATTTCAATATATTTATGTTGTGGTAAATCATTTCACATAGGTGGTTCTGAAAGCTGGTGCTGACTTCATGAAG